CTCTTAATTCCCCGTCGGACGACACACAAGGCGTCTCCACAGCTAGCGGGGTTTCTCCATTAACGTCTTCATATAATGAATCATTAAACTTCCGTCTCAAGAAGGGGAGAGACGCGCAACCAACCACGTTTGTTTCCCCTGATTATAGGGCCGAGAGGCGCGTAGGGGCGAAATTCGAGATCCTCGCGTGGAGGCTTTTACTCAAAAAAAATAAAAAATAAAAAAATAAAAAAAATAAAAAAAATAATAAATAAAAAAAATAAAAGAAAGAAAATGAAGATGATGATGATGACGACGGGGAGGAAGAAAGGGAAGGAGGAGAAGAAGACAATAACAACGATAACAGCCAAGCGGGGAAAATGGGGGTGACGATATAAAAATAGATAAATAAATAAAATAAATAATAATAAACGATGATGATAATAATAATGATGATGATAATAATAATCATAACAATAATAACAATACTGAGAATAATAAAATCAATAGTGAATAACAGATAATAATAACAACAACAGCACTACCAATAACATTATAATGACAACAACAGCACTACCAATAACATTATAATGACAACAATCAGCAACAACAATAATAATAACGATAACAACAACAACAACAATAATAATAAAAATAATAATAGTAATAAATACGTATATGTATCATTACTCCTCTCAATGATGATGATAACAATATTAAGCACTCAAAAAAAGTACGAAAAACTGTAATAACACCAAAAGTGTATAAAAAGAATCCACATTTCGGGAGCACGGGAATCCTGTCTTTAATCTCCCCCCCCCCTTTTTCTAACTCAACTCTCCCTTTCCCCTTCCCTCCCCACCTTCTCCCTCTCCTCTCCCTCCCCTCCTCTCCCACTTCTCCCTTCCCCTCTCCCCCCTCCCCTCCCCTTCCCACTTCTCCTTCCCTCCCCTCCTCTGACTCTCCTTTCCCCTCCCCTCCCTTTCCCTTCGCTCTCTCTTTTCCCCTCCCTACTCCTTCTCACACCAAGACCTTTCCTCCTTTCTTTCTCCCCGCCTACCCTCCCTCTTCCCCTTCCCCTCCCCCTCATCCTGCCCTCCCCCCCACCCCACTTCCATTTCATCTTCTCCTTTAAGAAATAATGAGTCGACCGGAAGTAGACACGACGCTATCACCGCTATTGCTGAGGTCACGTGACAGGAGGGAGAAGGAGGGGGAGGAGAGAGGAGGAGGATGTGTAGGAGGAGGAGGAGGAGGAAGGGAGGAGGAGGGAGGAGGAGGAGGAGGAGGAGGAGGAGGAGGGGAGGAGGAGGAAGGAGGAGGAGGAGGAGGAGAAGGAGGAGGGAGGGGTGTGAAAGAGGAGGAGGGGGAGAAGAGGACGAGGAGGAAGAGGAGGAAAAGGTAGAAGAAGAGGAGTAGAAGGGAGAAAAAATGACGAGGACAGGAAAAGAAGAAGAAGGGAGAGAAAAGGGGCGAATAACAAAATCACCCCAATGAAAAAAAAATAAAAAAAATAAATAACAAAAAGCCCCCCCACCCCCCCACCCCAAGAAAAAGAATTCTTCCCCCTTTTCCAAAATTGATATTCAGAGCCCCCACAGAACGCGCAATAAACCAGGCGAAGAGACAGAGCCCTCCCCCCCCCCCGCCCCCCGCCCCCCCTCCCCACGCCCATCGACCTGAATAGCAAACCAATCGACGTGGAGTAGCGACAGCGCCGCCGCCCGCAGAAGTAGGCCCATTTGTCTAGGCCTGAGAGCCGGTCTGGGCCTATTGTCCGTCGCTTTGTTTATGCTCTCGGACCACCCACCGCCGCCCAGACTTTACGAGGATACCTTACGACGGGGCGGACGAGCGGGCGGGCGGGCGGGCGTGGGTCGTGGGGAAGGGTGCGGGGGACGAGCGGCGTGGGGACGGGCGGGCGGGCGGGCGTGGGGGACGGGCGAGCGGTGGCGTGGGGGGACGGGTGGGCGGGTGGGGCTCGTGGGGGACAAGTGGGCGGGTGGGCATAGTGTCGCTTCCCGGCATAACGTTCGCTATTGCAATAATCCTTTTGACGAGATTTGTAGAAGCAACGATAAAGGAGGGGGGGGGGCTGGTGTTTGTATAACAGGTGGGGAAGAGAGTTAAGAGGTAGAAAGTGTAGGAGGGGGAGGAGGAGATGAGAAGTAATAAAGGAAAAGAGAGGAAAGACATATATGTAACAGAGGATAAGAGATGAGAGAGAGAGAGATGAGAGAGAGAGAGGAGAGAGAGAGAGAGAGAGAGAGAGAGAGAGAGAGAGAGAGAGAGAGAGAGAGAGAGAGAGAGAGAGAGAAGAGAGAAAGAAAGAAGAGAGTAGAGAGAGAGAGAGAAGTAGAGAGGAGAGAAGAGAGGAGAGAGAGAGAGAGAGAAGAGAGAGAGAGAGAGAGAGAAGAGAGAGAGAGAGAGAGAGATTCATCAGAACACTCTCTCCATCTCCCCACAGCTTCATCTTATGAATAACATCCCCCGAGTCTACCCCCTCCCCTCCCCCCCCCCCTCCCCCCCCCCCCCCCTCGCCTACACCGCAAATTATATACTTTCTGACAGCATCATTTTTCATCTTGCTAATGAATGCAAGGCAAAAAAAGGCCATTGCACATGCTCTTTTACAAGAGTTAAATCCCAGACAAGAAAATATTTTTAAAGTATACATTTCATTTTTTTTTCTTTTATCTCTCTCTCTCTCTCTCTCTCTCTCTCTCTCTCTCTCTCTCTCTCTCTCCTCTCTCTCTCTCTCTCTCTCTCTCTCTCTCTCTCTCTTCTCTCTCTCCCTCTCCCTCCCCCTCTCTCTCTCTCTCTCTCTCCTCTCTCTCCTCTTCTCTCTCTCCTCTCCCCTCTCTCTCTCTCTCTCCTCTCTCTCTTTCCCCGTCCATCTCCAAGATTATCAATCACACCCGCACAGCAGTTCACGGGAACAGCTGATGTGTCAGTGTAACAGATCGTAAAGGGATCTAATCACTTGCCTCGCCTGGCTAGAGCGTATTCAATGTTTTCTCTCCTCTTTTACCCCAACGGCTAGAGCGTATTCACTTTTTAGGCGAGAGTCGGTTCGAAGAGAAGGTTGACTTGCCTGTCATTAGACGAACAAAAAAAAAAAAAAAAAAAAAAAAAAAAAAAATAGGTATTCAGCAAACACCGTAGACCCAAAAAAAGAAAAGAAATAAAGAAAAACAAAGACAGTAGACACACAAAAAAGAAAAGGAATAAAGAAAAACAAACAAAAATAGGTATTCAGGAAAGACAGTAGACAAAAAAAAAAAAAAAAAAATAGGTATTCAGGAACGAGTAGAGACCAAAAAAGAAAAAAAAGAGCAAGAGAGAGAAAAAATACATCATGAATACAACATGTAAGATTACACAACGCTGGGAATCTTGACTTAACCTTAAAGGGGCAAACGAAGTAGAAGGAAAGCGGGTATATGGATAGGGGGGGGGGGGGGAGTGAAGATGATATCGGTCCTGCTCTCTCTTCTCTATTTTTCTCTTTTCCTTTCTTTTTTTTCTTATTTACTCTAGTCTTCTCTCTCTCTCTCTCTCTCTCTCTCTCTTCTCTCTCTTTCTTTCTCTCTTCATCTCTATCTATCTCGTCCTCTCTCTCTCTCTTTCCCTTCCTTCCCTCCTATCCTTCTCCCTCTCTCTCTCCACCCCTTTCTCCTTCCTCCCACCCTTTGCTCACATCCATCATAATAATCTTTCTCTCATCCGTAAAAACACCTAGAGCTTAAACAGTCGAGGCGGAAAACAAACATCCACCCGCCATCCATCCTCACACGCCCACCCGCCACCCATCCTCCTATAATCACCCATACGCCCATCCTCACGCCCTGCCACTCGTATACCCATCATCCCTCCCACTCCCCACCTACCACCCATCCTCCCATTCACCCATACGCCCATCACCACCCACCCATTCCCCCCCTCCGCCCGCCCATCCGTGCACCAGCGGGGGGTACCTCGTGACTGGCGCATATCTCGGCCCGATGGCGGAGTCGTGTCAGCGGAACACATCAAAACAGACGCTGATAATCCACTTTATCTCGACCTTTCGATAGAGTCGCTGCACCTTGGCCCCGTTTTACGTATCTCGCAAGTAAAATAGAGAAAGGAAAAGACAACAACAAAAAAAAAGGAAAACGAAAAAGGACTGATAACGTGATATAAATAACCACGAAATCTGAAAACGATGAAAGATAACAACGGGAACACGAGGAGGACACCAAAACAGCTGATTACCATTATCACGAATTATATAAAAACCGATAGAGCTGAAACAGATAACATAAAAAACATGATAAAAAAAACATGCGATAACACCAAAGATTAAAAAACAGCAACATAACATCGCAACACAACACACACACACACAAAACAACAACACAAAAGCAAAAGACGAACGCCAAGCGCCATTTCCATCTCCCTTTCTCCGCCTTCCGCAAATCATAAACGTCAACAAGGGAAAAATAATCCAAAGGTAGAAATAACGAGGCGATTCGCGGGCTGATGCCACTTTAATGCATCATTAGCGTTTCATCAATCATAATCACCGGCGGAATAATCTGTTGAACTCTTCTGTCTGTTTGTTGTGTGCTTTACGCGCGGGGAAGGAAGAAGAAGGGCTTAAGCGCCATCTTTATTTGACTCGTTTTTTTCTTTTCTTTTCTTTTCTTTTTCTTTCTTTCTGTCTTCCTTTCTTTGTTTAATGGTGGGGGAGGGAGAGAGATGATGGTAATGAGGGGAGGGGGCGGGGTGATGGTGATTATGACAGCGCTAATTACTAAACATTGCGGGTTGAGCTTGTAGTGACAGTAAGAATGATGAAGATGGTGATAGTAGTGGTGGTGATACTAATACTAATAATAACAACATCAGTAACAACAATAATAACATATATAATAACAAAAATGATAGTAACAATAATAACATATATAACAATAATGATAGTAATAACAATAATAATGAAATACATTTTCTTTTTCAGTATCAAATATCTTCACCAGGAGACTATATGTTATCGACACACGAGTCTGTCTGACCACACTGCCTCGAGCAAGACTAATGAAGCGGTTTTAAAAGCAAGATTCCCACGCGCCGGAAATATTCCCACGCTCCTGGTTTTTTTCCCACGCTCGGCTCAGTTCCAGCTCGCTCCCTTCTGCGGACGGATGCTGCGCGGCTCGCATCCCGGCTCTCACGGCCGGTCGAGTATTTGGGGCACTCGTAGGGTTAGGAGAAAAATTATTCAGTTTCTGTTATTTACATGTCTCTACTCTTTTTTGTGCTGACTAAACACTGGAACTTGAAATTCTTGTTCTAGAATATCTTTTACATGCGCACATGCACAAACACACACACATACACACGCATACACTCACTCACTGAATCACTCACATTCACATTCACACGCAAACACACACACAACATATACATATATGTATAAACCATTATAAAATTATGTAAAAATATAAACGTTTCCCATCCACAAGGGCATAAAAAACAATAACCGCACAAAAACAAAGCAGCCCACCAAAGCCGTAAACAGGCGTTCAATTCACCAGAAAATAACTTGCGAAGACCCACGGTCCATGAACAAAACACATTGAGCCAGATGTTACATGCATGCTAATCAGGTCGTGAGAAGGGAGCCTCGGAAGGTAGTAGTAAAGTCGACGTCGAACTCAGCAAAATGTTCGAGCGCGCCATGCCTAAGTGCCCAGGATACAACCCAACCTTTCTTTTTATTATTTCCTTAACGGAGAAAAACCCAGTACATTCTTTCTTTTCACGCTATTTCAATCCCGAGCATAAATCCAGTGAAAACACACAAATGACCTCAGGTAAAGGAACGAGAAAGAGAAAGAGAGAGAAAAAAACGAAACATAATCCAGTAGAGTTTTCCCGACTAGCACATACGGCACACATTACTGAGTTTCCCGTCGACTTACGAAAACAAAAACAAGCAGAGGGCCGTCGGTCGTCCATCATGAGCAGAGACAATGGAGGCAGGCAGCGGAGCGCGGCGACTGCCATTATAGTCGGTGCAGATTCTAAAAGCTCCACAACTCAGCAGGAAGTCGCCGCACCGGAAATTCACAAGGCAACAGTAAGTGCCCATTAAAAATGATTTGAAGAATAAGTCTCTCGGAAGAAGGAAAATAGAGGAATTACAGACCCGAAATCGCCCTAAAATATTATTTCCATCTAGGACAGGAAGCCCATAAACGTAATTAAGAACGAAGGAAGAAGCGTGCTAACACTTTCTTCCACGATTATACGTCAACGATAAAAACAAACCCATCGGAACCCTAACTTATGACGTCACTAAACAGCGGGGAAATGGGTAAATCGTAAACTTGACTGGAAGCTTCAGCATTTCGCACATAGATGGCGCGCATAACGTGCGAAGCCATTTGTAATTCAAATGAGATAATTTGCTAGTTTCATTAGCAAGTTAACAAGCTAACGCATTAAGTAACCATCCCTAAAGCACTTCGCAAATAAATATCAATCACTCGCCCCCCAAAAAAGAAGGAAAGAAAGAAAAAAAGACGCCAACATAACTCAGACCAGATCAACCCTATGTATTAACAAGTACACAACCTGAGCCACGTAAGACTCCCTCCTTTCCCAATGCAATTCTCTCTCTCCCGAACCCCACGTCCACCTCCTACTCTTTCTGCTCTCGGCTCGGGAGGGATAAAGCGAAGCCGATACGGACTCCATCCCGCAGCAGAGATGGCCCGACGCGACTTATTTCTAGTGTTATGCGCTGCCTCGGCTCCGGACTCCAATGTTCCGCCTGGCCAATTACGCTCTTTCTTTGACTCTCTCTCTCTTCCCGGCGCCCATTACCGCTGTATGGCAGGTTCATAATCCTTTTTTTTTTTGTTGCTCTTCCTCCTTTTTATCTTTGTTTTCTTTGTTTCGTTGTCTGTCTTTGATTCGCTATGTCTGTGTCTCTTTCCCTTTCTCTTTCTTTCCCTCTCCTTCTCCCCCTCTCCCACCCCTCTCCCCTCTCTACCCCTTTTATTCTATCTCATGCTTATTCTCCTTCACTGCTTCACTACCTTTTCTCTCACCATTCCCAACCCATCGCTTGCCACCTGTACAAAAAGACTCCAGTTCTAGACAACACCACCACGGCTGCATTATGCAACCGAAAGCGGGGGATCAGCTGTTGATGTGCAATGTGATCATCTGAGGGGGGGAGGGGGGGTGCTCGAGCGGCGTGAGGTTGAGGTGTGGGTGTAGGTCGGAGGAGAGGAGAGGGGGGGGATGGCATGCTAGAGTCATATACCAAAGGTTGGTTCGAGTCAGGTGGCTGTTAAGGCAATGATGTGGCGCGGGCGTGAGGGGGCGGGGGTGGGTGGCTGGGGAGGGGAGTCATTCAGGTGCTTGCTTGGCTCATGCTGCTGGTGCCTGCCTGCCTGCCTGCCTGTCTGCCTCCTGCTTGTCTGTCCTGTCTGTTTGTCTCCCTCAATGCCTATCTGTCTTTCCTGCCTGCCTGTCCGTCTGTCTGTCTGTCTCCTGTCTGTGCCTGCGTCTGCCTGCATGTCTGCCTGTCGTTTCGTGTCATGGCTCATGCTTACCATGAGGCCCATGCTCAAGATGCCCTATTTTCCCCCTTCGTCTTCACTTTTAATAGTCTTGGTCTGTCTGCCTCTGTCGCTATCTCTTTTTAACATTCTTCTTCAACACACACACACACACACACACACACACACACACACACACACACACACACACACACACACACACACACACACACACACACACATATATATATATATATATATTATATATATATATATATATATATATATAGAGAGAGAGAGAGAGAGAGAGAGAGAGAGAGAGAGAGAGAGAGAGAGAGGAGAAGGGAGAGAGAGAAAGAGCGGATGGGGGGGGGGCGTTTTCTCTATGTTGGGCCCACATACCTTAAGCCTCCAAGCCTCCACATAAAAAGCCAGGAGATAACCTCCCCCCGGCACACAAAACAAACCATTGGAACGCCGTAGTGGGCGAGGCGAGATCAAAAAGGACTTTTCATTTAAGCTCAATCCTTTCTGTCCATCAGCGAGCCTGCCACCAGACAAGGGGGGAGGGGGGGGCAGGGGCCGGAGGGGAAGAGGGGGGGGGGGGAAGGGAGGACTCTTGCCGCATGCACCACTCTCCAACCCCTATTTTTTCTCTCCTCCGCTCTTTTCCAATCTCTCTTCGCCTAAGGAAAATCCATTTCCATTATCTCAGACTCGGAAAATCCAAACGACCAATGTACACGAGAAGAGAAAAAAAAATATTCCGAAATATGCGAGCGCTACATTAGAAAAAGGATTATTTCTGGGTGTAGCGAAAAGGCGCTTGTTGGGCAACAGCGCTCTCGAGATAAGATCAGCCAATCAGGGCGAGAGAGGGTGACCGCGCGTCCCTCTACTACTGTGTGGCACCCTGGTCCCACGCAGCCACCACAGGGACCCCGAGGATAAACATTTTCGTTATCCACCAGCGGAGGCCGCTCACACTTACATTATCCCTGTGCTGTACTAACCCTCAGAGGGGAGCCACATCTCAGCATTTATGGTAGACACTAAAAGCGGGAGCGAAAGTGGTTGTCGTTTTTTTACTTATCATAATGTTACCAGAGGGACCGCGACTATAAATATCTGTGTCGCGGGCAATCTCGATGTTTTGAATCGTCGACGCAACGGCGGTTTCAGCCAGCCTATATATGCAGGCCCTAAAAATAGCACAGATTATCCTTCATAAATATACACCGGCCATCAATAGAACACTTAACATCTGGCAGCAAATCAACATGGACAAGCACAGTACAAGCCTTGTTTAAATTATGCTCGAAAGACTGTGGAAAAAATCCATTTAAAATCGGACGAAAAAGAAATCGTCCAACACCGACAATGGAAACTATCTTTAAGCGCATCTGAGACAACTCCCGTAAGACCCATATTGGCATGCCACAAGCGTCATTCTCCCCCTTATCGGCTCTTATCTTAATTCACTTGTACGCGATTCCATCAACTTTGCGAAAATTGTTCACAAATGTATCCTACGTTGGTTAGACCTTTTCCTTTTTCTTTTTTTTCTGTGTGTGTGTGTGTGTTGTGTTGTGGTGTGTGTGTGTGTGTGTGTGTGGTGTGTGTGTGTGTGTGTGTGTGTGTGTGTGTGTGTGTGTGTGTGTGTGTGTGTGTGTGTGTGTGTGTGTGTGTGTGTGGTGTGTGTGTGTGTGTGTGTGTGTGTGTGAGTGATGTGTGTGTGTGTGTGTGTGTGTGTGTGTGTGTGTGTGTGTGTGTGTGTGGTGTGTGTGTGTGTGTGTGTGTGTGAGTGAGTGAGTGAGTGAGTGAGTGAGTGAGTGAGTGAGTGACGTGAGTGAGTGAGTGAGTGAGTGAGTGAGTGAGTGAGTGAGTGACTGAGTGTGTGAGTGAGTTGCATGAAACGTTAAAGAGTCCGAGTGTGAGTGAATATGTGTGCGTGAAAGAGAAAAGAAAAATAAATGAATAAATCAAACGAGCTGTGGGAATACGGAGAGCAAGGGAGAGAAACATGAAACGACAGAGCGAGTGCAATCAGCGTTCGTCGCTCCGAGAGACACTCCGGGAGCTGACTGATTAAAAGCTGTTTTGGACGCTCCTCTCTCTCTCTCTCTCTCTCTCTCTCTCTCTTCTCTCTCTCTCTCTCTCTCTCTCTCTCTCCTCTCTCTCTCTCTCTCTCTCTCTCGCTCTCTCGCTCTCTCGCTCTCTCCTCTCTCGCTCTCTCGCTTCTCGCTCTCTCGCTCTCTCTCGCTCCTCTCGCTCCTCTCGTCTCCTCTCGCTTCCTCTCGCTCCTCTCGCTCCTCTCGCTCTTCCTCTCCTCCCTTCCCTCCCCTCCTCCCCCTCCCCGTCTCCCTCTCCCCCTCCCACTCCCTCCTCCCAGAGAGACTCCCCAGCGAGGGTCGTTGAGTATTGAACTAATGAATGAGACAGTGGCAGAGACAAAAGGCCAGGCAGGCGTGACATCCCTCAGGACTCCCACGTGCGCTGTCCGTTTCGAGAGAGAGAGAGAGAGAGAGAGAGAGAGAGAGAGAGAGAGAGAGAGAGAGAGAGAGAGAGAGAGAGAGAGAGAGAGAGAGAGAGAGAGAGAGAGAGAGAGAACGAGAGAGAGAAGAGAGAGAGAGAGAGAGGAGAGAGAGAGAGAGAAGAGAGAGAGAGAGAGAGAGAGAGAGAAGAGAGAGAAGAGAGAGAGAGAGAGAGAGAGAGAGAGAGAGAGAGAGAGAGAGAGGAGGGGGGGGGGAGGGCTGGCCCGGATAGGGATTCTATGGCGGAGTGTTTTAGCTTGAGTAATGGAGACGAAGGCAGTAAGATCGGTATTTGATTATGCGCTGGAGTTATAATGACCCTTATTATCGTTGGGGTCGTCGCCGTCTTCGTCGTGGTCATCGTCATCGTCATCGTCATCGTCATCATCATCATCATCATCATCATCATCCATCAATCATAACAATCGCCATCACCACACCGTCATCACCACCAGCCTCATCATCAACAACAACAACAAATTTACGACATTCATACAACATACGTCCATAATAACAATAATGAAAATAATAATA